CTCTTGCCTCTCTCCTTCCTCTTGTCTCTTCCCTGCTTCCTCTGTTTCTCTGTCTGTCTGTCTGCCTGCCTCTCTCATGTCCCTGCTCCAACATGGCCTTTTGCTCTTTCACTCCCCCTCCCCCTCCTCCAATAAGCCTCTGCACTAACTCTGTTGTGGTAGCATGTTTGCTTAGAGGCATACCTTGGCAGGACCCACCGAGAGGTACCCTCTTTTCTTTCCTTTCCTTTTCTTTCCTGTCCTTTCTTTCTTCTCATTCTTTAGTTGCTGAGCCACCTCTCTAGCCACATCTCCTTTTAACGCTGTGTGTATACACTGGCCTATGTGTGTGCAGTGTGACTGTGCTTGTGCACATGTGCTGATTGAGACTGACTTCAGGTATCTACCTTCTTGTCTCCCATCCTATTTTATCTGATTGTCTCTCACTGACCCGGGAGCTCGGCGAGTCAGCTAGACTGGCTAGCCAGGGAGGGGACTCAGCATTCCGCACTCATTTGCCAGTGGTAGGCCTTGGATTCTGGCTCAGCCTGGGAGCCTGCCAAGGGGCTGCAGCCACATGGCCATCGGTGCTTCAAGGCTGGCCACAGAATGGGAAGTCTGTTCTCCAGAGACGGGGGACAAGTGCTCAGCCTCCGCCTTTACTTTGCCTATCGAAGGCCTGCGCAGAGTGTTGGCTATCTCACTGGAAATTTCTAGCTATCTTTTTCGGTTTGTTAGTTTCAAACAAGGTCTGTGTTGTGCGGCCAAGGTTGACCCTGAACCACTGAGTCTGCTGCCGCTGCCTGCCCAGTGTTGGGATGAGCAACCTCAGCTCCCTGCGGTCTTGCAGTCGCTTCTTTGATTGCCAGCTTGGTTCTGAAACAGCTACACATGATCTAGTTTCTCTGTTTATATCAAAGCTCTGGGGCTGTGGGGAGGGTGGCTTGGGAGGTCAAGTGTCTGCTGCCCAAACACAAGGACCCATGTTCAGATGCCCAACACCCATGTTAAAAGCCGGGCATGGCATCTGTAACCCCAGCCCTGGGGAGGCAGAGACTGGTGCATCCCTAGACCTCACTGGCAACTAATGGATTCAAACTGATGAGCTTTGGATTCAGCAACAAACCCTGAGATCTCAGAAAAGAAGGCGGAGAGTGACTGTGTCAACCTCTGCCCTCCATGGGCACCCACATGAGCACATCTCTCTCTCTCTCTCTCTCTCTCTCTCTCTCTCTCTCTCTCTCTCTCTCTCTCTCTCTCTCTCTCATTCAGACAGACACACAGAAAGACACATAGACACACATACACACACAGACAGATAGACAGACAGACAGACACACACACATAGATAGACACACACAGACAGATAGACACACATACACACACAGATAACACAGACACACAGACACACACACACAGATAACACAGACACACACACACATAGATAGACACACACAGACAGATAGACACACATGCACACACAGATAACACACACACACAGATACAGACACAGACACACACACACACACACACTGCCCTAATCTTCTGTAGGGAACACCGATACATTCATCCATTCATCCATTGGAATATTTCTCATCACAGAAGAGGAAGGGGCTGGCGAGTGGCTTGTAGGGGAGCACTTGCCTGGTATCTTGGCTTCTTCTCCTGTTGCTGTAATGAAATTTCCTGCCAAGGACAACATAAGGGTGAAAGGATTTATTCCAGCTCAAGTTCAAGGGCCCTGTCTGTCAAAACAGGAAAGTCAAAGCAGCAGGGTCTAGGGGCAGCTGATCACACTGCACCCATGATCAGGAGAATGGAAAGGGACAACTGTATCTGATGCTCACTCAGGCCATTCCTCTTTTGAGACAGGTTCTCACTATGAACATCTGATTGACCTGAACTTCTCTATGTAGTCCAGGCTGGCCCCTGACTCCCTGAAAAGTGCCTGCCTCCAGGAGGGCTGAGACTAAAGGCATGGCCTCTTTCTCCATTTACCCAGTCTAGGATCCCATCCAGGGAATGGGTACCACCCACAGTGAGTGGATCTTCCCTCCTTAGTTAATAAAGTCAAGATAATGCCCACAAATATTGCTGGAGGCCCGACTCTCGGGTGATTCCAGATTCTGTCAGGTCACCAGTTGACACTAACCATCATATCTAGACATGCACAAGGCCTTGGGGTCCTTCTCTACCCTGCAAAACAAACACAGACATGAAAAGGAAAGGGGCTGTGGAGATGGCCCACTTGGCACATCCAGTGTCCGTGCGAGGACTGTAGTTCAGTCCTCAGACCCTACATAGAAACTTGGCATGACATCAACCTCTGTATTCATGTGCACGTGCACACACAAAATAAATAAATAAAACACTTCATAAAACAACAACAATACACTGAGCCAATGAAATAGCTCATCGGTGAAGGCAGCTTGATGCCAAGCATGGCTGCCTGAGTTTCAGTCCTGGCATCTACAAGGTGGAAGGAGGGAACCAGCTCTGTTAAGTTGTTTGCTAACCTTCATATGGACACCTTAAGCTCTCTCTCTCTCTCTCTCTCTCTCTCTCTCTCTCTCTCTCTCTCTCTCTCTCTCTCTCTCTCTCCTCTCTCTGTATTGTATAGAACAATACAGGTGAATCTCAATTGTGTTATACTAAATGTTAAAACCTGACTTAAAGACTGTGTAATGGAGAAAAGGAGACAAGGAGTTGAGAATTATCACCAAAATTATCTTTAATAAGGATATTTTTCAGTGTTGGGGATAGAAACCAGGGCCTGGTACATACTAGGCATGTGGTCTACTGTCAAACAACACCCCAGCCCCTCCCTGGGGGATTCTAGGCCAGTGCTCTACCACTGAGCCACACTCCAGCCCCTCACTGGGGTTATCTAGACAAGTGCAGTAGCACTGAGCTGCACCCTCAGCCTAAGGTTTCCTTCAGCAGGGTCCAAGTTCCTCTGGCTCATTTGTATGGACTGTTTGCTAGTCAAAGCACGGCTCCCTTCCACCTAAGAGTGTGCTTTGTCTTGATCTGTCTCTACTGATTTTCTGAACCAGGGACTCGAGTAGCTCAGGTTAGCATTAAATTCCCTGTGTAACCTGGGCTACCCTTAAGATCCTGTCGTGAGTATGACCTGGGGTTACAGGCATGCATTATTTAAGTGTCATGGTGAGTCCATGATCAAAAAATCCTTCAAACTCCTAAAACCATGTTTCAAAGTAGTGAGACATTTTTATTGTACACAAATTAGAACACAAAAGGTGAATTTGTTGCCCTTTAAAATGCCTGTCTAGGGCTTTTTGAGGGAAAACACTGGGTCACAAGGAGTTAAAAGAAAACTACATGGGTCTTCAGGGTGGTGGGAATGGTTTCTTGGGCCTTTGCCAAGGCATGCTCCCCCACCTTCAAGCTCTCCCCCCCATCACTCTCCATTCAATAGCTACAGCCTAAAGGAGAGACAAGGGGAGTTTTGTGGAAGACAGAAATAAATAAATAATGGCCTGCCCCAGGTCGCCACGGCAACAGTGACATCACCCTGGACCCACATGGCTGGCACCATGGGTGGCTTGCCTGGAGTTAAAGGCACAGGAGAGGATAGGGTGGCTCCTGGTGACAGGTGAATGACCTCCTCCCTGCAGAGGGTGATGAGCTTGCCCACCTGTGGATCTCTTTGCCAGTTATCTACCCAGCTTCAGGCCAGCTGGTGGCAGCATCAATTGTCATTGCTTCTTGGGGGCTTTGGTAGGGCTAATTAACATGCCTGCTGAGACATGAGCCAGTGCCACCTGCCTGCAGGAATGAATGGAGTGGCCGATACTCAGTGCTTAGGCACACATAATTCTCCCATACTTCTTGGAGGGCTGACTTTCAGGATCAAGGTGTGAGCTTGTCCTTTCTAGTTCTGAGGTCTCCTCTAGGTTCTGAAATCTTTGGTGGCTTAGAAACTTGTTGCTTACATCTCTGCCTCTGTGACATGATGCCGTCTTTTTCCTGCAACTGTCTCATATGACATCCTTCTCTGTATTGTTCTTTGCCTTCTGCAATATTTTATTTGTGGTACTGGAGCTTGAACCTATGGTCTTGCATATGCTGAGCCACATCCCAGTCCCTCACTGGGGGATTCTAGGCAGATTCTCTACCACACCCCAACCCCTCACTGGAGGATTCTAGGCAGGAGCTCTACCACTGAACCATATCTCCAAACCTCTTTGTACTTTGAGTCAGGACCCCACTAAGTTGCCCAGGGGTAGTCTCAGCCTCACTTTATATCTCCGGCTCTCTCAAACTTGTGACTCTCGTCTGTTTGCCAAATAGCTTGGGTAATAATAGGCATGCACCATAAGCACTGGATGCATGCTGGTTTTCTTTCTTTTTTAATTTAATTTAATTTTTTATGTGTATGGATGTTTTGCCTGCATATTTATGTCTCAGATCCTCTAAACTGGACCTATAGACAGCTGTGAGCTGCTATATGGGTGCTGGGAATTGAACCCGGGTCCTTTAGAAGAACAGCCAGTGAGCGTAACTGCTGAGCTAACTCTCCAGCCCCCGCATGTCTGGTCGTTACCCTGGGCATGAGTTCAAATCTCAGAACGTATGTAAAAGGCAGTTACACATAATGACAGGACCTGCAGTGAGGAAGGTGTGGGGAAGGCTGAGACAGGCAGATCTCCGAGGCTCACTGGCCAGCCAGCCCTGAAACGGCAATTTCTGGGTCCAGTGAGTGACCCCGCCCGGAAGAAAAGGGGAGGAGTGCGATTGAGGCAGACACTTGATGTTGGCTACCAGCCTATGTGCGTGTATGCGTGCACTTAGAAATGGAGAGAGAGACAGAGAGACAGAGACAGAGACAGAGACACAGAGAGAGACAGAGACAGAGATAGAGACAGAGAGAGACAGACAGAGAGACAGACAGAGAGAGAGAGACAGAGAGAGAGAGACAGAGAGAGAAAGAGGGAAGCTGTGTGGGTGAGAATCTAGACTCTGACTTCCTCATCCAGTTTTTCTGCCTCTCATTGCAGGTTTATGAATGACCGAGTCCCAGCTCACAAGAGGTACCAGCCCACAGAGTATGAACACGCAGCCAACTGTGCCACCCATGCTGTGAGTTGACTTATGGGGTACTGACGTGGGGACCCTTCATGGTGGGGGTAAGGAAGGCACTCTTCTCAATCTATTACATAATTAGTAATATTGTCTGTGTGTATGTGCAGGTGAGTGCAAGTGCCTAGAGAGGCCAGAAGAGGGCGTCAGATCCCCTGGAGTTGGAGTTAAACAGTTATGAGCTGCTCAGTGTGGGTGCTGGGAAAGAGTACTGAAAGCTGGATGCAATGGTGTACACCTTTAGTCTCAGCACTCTGAAGGCAGAGGAGGAGATGCTGCATTAAAAAATCACTGATCACTTTTAACTGCTAAGTCAGCTTTTGTTTCTTTAACATTATTTGTTTTTTATTTGCGTGTGGGTGTGCACATGTGGGAGTCAGAGGACAAATTTCAGAGTCAGTTCTTCACTTGCAGTGTGACACTCAGAGATCAAACTTAGGAGTCAGGCTTCCATGAAATCATGTTGTGGAATTCATCTTGTTTTCTGGGTGCTTTCTCTCACTGGGACCTGGAACTAGGCTGACTGACCCAGTGACCCCAGGAACTAGACTGACTGACCCAATGACCCCAGGAACTAGACTGACTGACCCAGTGTCCCCAGGAATCTGCCAGTTTTTGCTTCCCAATAACCAGGATTCCAAGCATGGGACTCAGCTCTTGACATGGGTACTTGGAATGCAAACTCAGGTCCTCATGCTTGCATATCAAACACTTTGCTGATGGAGACATCTCCTCAGTCCTTCTCAAACCACCCCATGTGACCTGTTCCTCGAATCTCTCAGGACCCCAACAGTGTGGTTTTAAAGGAAGCACAATGGACTAGAGAACTGTGGTTGGCTTTTTCTGTTCTGCCAGCCAGCTCCCTAATGGTGACATGGAGACTTATTACTGATTATAAGAGCTTGGCCAGTATCTTAGGCTTGTTACTAACTAGCTCTTACAACTTAAATTATTGACCCATTTCTATCTATCTACATGTTGTCACCCAGCTTGAGGCTTTTACCTGTCCTCCAGCATGTCTTGCTCCCTCTGCATCTGCAGGTGACTCTGCCCTTTTTCCCAGCATCCTCTGTGTCTGGCCATCCCACCTAAACCTCCTGCCTAACTAATGGCCATTCAGCTTTTTGTTAAACCACTCAGAATGACACATCTTCACAGTGTACAAAAAGATTATTCCACGACTTTAGCCACACTAGAATGACCTATCCATCACTCAGCTGTTGGACAGTTCCGGTACTCTCATGAGGAAAAGATGGAAGGTTTGGGGGAGGTAGGTCACAGATTTGTAAAGGTAAAGGATTTCAGGGGTTCATTCTTTAAAACCAGGTCTTGAGTGGCATACCTCTCCCCCTGCTCTGTCTCCTCTTAAATGGCGTCTCAGGTAACCCAGGCTAGTCTTAAACTCACTATGAAGCTAAGGATGAACTTGAATTTGGTTCTTCCTACCATGACTGCTTTGTGTGGTGGAGGGGATGGAACCCAGGGCTGTGGGAATTATACAGAAGCCTTCTACAACACAACTATGGAACTGTATATTTCAAAAAGCTTGAAAGAGGGTTGGGGATGTAGCTCAGTTGGTAGAGTCCTTCCACAGTATGAGGGGGCCCTGGGAACCACCTCTAGCACTGCAAACAAGCAAACAAACACACCTAGAAGGATTTGCAAGTTTTTATCCTAAAGCAATGATAAGTGTTTTCAGAGATAGCTGCCTTTGACCTGAGTTCTGTTCCCTGCACCCATAGCAGACAGCTCACAACAGCCTGTAACTCCATCCTCAGGGATTCTAACGCTCTCTTCTGGCCTCCATTAGCACCTGCACTCAATGCATCACTCCACAAACATAATTAAATATGAATACTTAAATGATGATGATGATGATAAAACTCCGCAAGGAGCCTAGTGTGGTGGCACAGACCTGTGACTCTACCCTTTGAGAGTCCGAGGCAGGAGATAGTTTTGACTTTGAGACCAGCCTGCCTGCTATGAGAGTCTGTCTCAAACTGAAATGTCATGGTATCACATTAACATGTACAACTTTTAAAATATCTTTGAGTGTGTGACATGTGTGCACCTGTTTGTATGTGAGAGTGTGAGCACACGTGTGCCATGATGCAGGTGTGGAGGGCAAAAGACAATTTCACGTGTCATTTCTCACCTGCCACCTTGTTTGAGATGGTCTCTGTTGCACAGGTGTAGGCCAGGTTAGCTGGACCATGGGTTTCTGGGAATTCTTTTATCTCACTGCAGAAATGCTAGGATTATAAACATGCGTTACTGTGTGACCCAAGCCACAGGAATAAGAATTCAAAGCAGCAAGGTGGGCCGGGTGGTGGTGGCACACGCCTTTAATCCCAGCACTCGGGAGGCAGAGGCAGGCGGATCTCTGTGAGTTTGAGACCAGCCTGGTCTACAAGAGCTAGTTCCAGGACAGCCTCCAAAGTTGCACAGGGAACCCCTGTCTCGAGAACAACAAAACAAAACAAACAAAAACAAAAAACAAAGCAGCGAGGTGTTGAGGAGGACAAGGGATGAGAAAATAAAGAAGACAGAATGCTGAGACCAGGTCTGCATGAGCTTGCCTCCTCCCTCCCTCCCTCCCTCCCTCCCTCCCTCCCTCCCTCCCTCCCTCCCTCCCTCCCTTCCTCCCTTCCTCTCTCTCTTTCTCCCTCCCTTCCTTCCTCCCTTCCTCCTTTCCTCTCTTTCTCTTTTTCTCCCTTCCTCCCTTCCTGCCTTCTTCCCTCCCTCCCTGCCTCCCTCCTTGCCTGCCTCTCTTTCTTTTTCTTTTCCCAAGACAGAGTTTCTTTGTGTAGCTCTGACTGTCCTGGAAATTCATTCTGTAGACCAGGCTGGCCTCAAACTCAGAGATCTACCTGCCTCTGTTTTTCAAATTAAAGGCATGTGCCGTCACCACATTTTATATACTATTTCCCTGGGGTAAATGGGACAAAGTCAGCAAGAAGCTAATCAAGCAATGTTGCACAAAACAGACACAGGATATCTCAAGTGTGTCACAGACTGAGAACGTGGTGGCCTTGGGACTGATAAGAACAGCCATTATTGGGGAAGAGTTAGATTCCCAGGATCTGAAGTTGCAGCTCCCCCAAGACTCAGCCCCTAGGCCATTACTGGCTCTACCAAGCATGTTCGTGGATTTAGACAGGGAACTATGTTCCTTCTCCATACATTGGGGCCTCAGGAAAGTCTTGAATTGGCCCAGCTCCCAACAACCATGTCTGGCTTTATTTGGATTCTCAGGATCTGAACTCAGCTCTTCACACTTGCATGACAAGTGCCTTACCCATTGAGCCATCTGCTCAACACAGTATGGGTAGTTTCAATTTGTAATTGTAACTTTGTGTCTATGGGTATTTTGCCTAGATGTGTGTGTGTTCACTGTGTGATTGCTTGATGTCCACAGAGGCCAGACAATTGTGAGCTACTGTACGGGTGCTGGGAATTGAACCTGGGTCCTCTGGAAGAACAACCAGAGCTCTTAACCACTGAACTGTCTCATCAGCCCCCAATAGGTACAGTTTTTATGTCTTATGTGTCAGGTAAAGTTTTTGAAAAATGAAAATAGAACCCATTCCCACTTCTCTTAATGGCACTGTTAGCCTTCATGTGCTCGGTGGGAATTGTATTGTCTAGGTATTGGGCAGCATGATCTAGAGAAAGGGGGAGTCAGTGCAAAGATTTTGGGGCTCTGTACTCCCCTGGGCACTGTTCAAAAGTCTGGCCCTGTGACGATGGCTCAGTAAAATGCTTTCTACATGAGCATGAGAACCTGAGTTCAATCCCCAAGGCCTACAGGGCAGGAGAGAATGCCTATCTATGATGTCCAGTGGTGCACCCTGGCTCTCACACACACCCATGCACATGTGCACACAAAATTAACAAAAATATTTCAAACAGATAAACAAGCGGGTGAACGGTGCCCGAGGAATGATGCCTGAGGGTGACCTTTGACCTTCACATGCACGTGCAAGAAAGTGCAACTCAGTGCCATAATAAGACATAAAAAGCCTTCTGTCCTCCACATCACATACTCCCCCAATCCCACGCACAAAATGTTGGTCTGTGGGGATGGAGAGATGTTCAGCAGTTTAGAACATGCGCTGCTCTCGCAGAGGACCTGACTTTGTTTCCCAGCAACCAGACATGGGTGCTGCTTAAGACCATGTTTAAGACAGCCCGAAATCCTAAAACCATCTGAAAGTCCAGCTCCTGGGGATCCAAGGTCCTCTTCTGGCTTTTGCCAACTCCTGCATTCATGTGCATAACTCCCACCCTACCCTACACACATATGCAGAATTAAAGACAGAACACATCTTTAGGAAATACATCTATTTTTAGAAAGGCTGGCCCTGTTCTGTCTTCTCTCGCTCTAGTTCTGGATCATCCCCAGTATCCTTGGCAGCTCCAACCTCTACTTCCTGTCTGACGATGATTGGGAGACCATATCTGCCTGGATCTACGGCCTTGGCCTCTGTGGCCTCTTTGTGGTATCCACCATTTTCCACACAGTCTCCTGGAAGAAGAGCCATCTCAGGTACCCCCAGCCAATCCCATGGAAGGGCGCATGGACGTACATTCTACACACACACCCATAGTCAGAGGTGTGCCAGCATTCACCATAATGGGAGTCCTGAGGCACCTCCATAAACCCCCAGAATGGCAGGCAACCTGGAAAACTGTTGCTCTGGTCCCTTGCAGGTGGAGAGACTGAGGCTGGAGGGGGGAGTCTACAGGATGGGGTGAGCATTTCTGTCTCTCAGTTTCTCCCACTGGGGAAGGCAAGGCTGTCCCTAGGCAGTGCTGTGGGTGCCCCTACCCTTCCCTGCTACACAGAGGCTATGACCTGTCACCTTCTCTACCTGCCCTAGGATGGTCGAACACTGCCTGCACATGATCGACCGCATGGTCATTTACTTCTTCATCGCGGCCTCCTATGCTCCTTGGTGAGTGCCAGTACCCTCCTCTGCTTCCTTTCTCCTGCTCGAATTCTGCCTACCTTTGGGTGGGTGATCGGTGACCACACAGATGGGGGAGTAGGTGAGAAGACATGCTCGTCCTTACTCTTGTGCCAAGAAATACCTACTGATTACCAGTGTCTTGTTACAACAACAAGGGTTGGTGTAGGCAAAAAAGAGCAAATGTGTATGTTTCTGTGCATGCAAATACTTGTGTATACATTAAATATTTTAACATATATTTACAGATATAAATAGATGTCAATGGCTGTATAGATGTGTAGACACACTTGCACATATATACAGATAAGCATGTGCTTTGGGTTTTGTTTTTTGTCTTTCTTCGTGTGTGTGTGTGTGTGTGTGTGTGTGTGTGTGTGTGTGTGTGTGAGAGAGAGAGAGAGAGAGAGAGAGAGAGAGAGAGAGAGAGAGAGAGAGAGAGAGAGAGAGAGTCTCAGGTTATCCAGGCTAGCCTTAAACTCTCTATTTAGCTGCGGCTGGCCTTGGATTCCTGATCTTTCTGCCTCCACTTTTCCAGTGCTGAGATTACAAGTGTGTACCATGGTGTCTGGTTTATGTGTGTGTTAAAAGCATTACTTATTACTGGGTGTAGTGGCACATGCCTTTACTTGGGAGGCAGAGGCAGGTAGATCTTGGTGAATCTGAGGTCAGCAGGGCTACTTAGTGAGATCCTGTTTTTTAAAAATTACTCATTTTTAAGACATTTTTTATCTTTTTTTCCTTGTGGTGCTGGGAATCAAACTGGTTCACTATCACGGAGTCATACTTCCCCTCTATGTTTTGCATGTATATTGCACATTATAAAGTGTGTGTTTAGACAAGTGTGTGGCATGTACTTGCAACCCCAGACTTTGGGAGGCTGAGGAAGAGTTTGAGGCCAGCCCTGGTCATATAGTGAGCCTCTGTCTCAAAAACAAAATAAAACCCCAATATCTAGTTTTACCTCCTGCCTATTTTCCTTTTCGTGTGTGAATGTGTGTGTTTGGTGTGCATGTGGTATACATGTGTGTGATGCATTTTATGTGTGTCAATGTCTGGAATCATCCTCCATCATTCTTCACCTTGTTCCTTGAGACAATATCAGGAATTTGGATGACCACATTTCTCCCACACAGAAAGCAGAGAGCTACTGCGATGTGGGTAGAGCTCAGGCTTTCTTCCACAGGTGCTAGGAAACATTCTCCCTCCCACACTTTTTCTGAGATGGTGTCTTGCTATGTAGCCTTTGCTGGTCAGGAACTTCTGCGAATAGATCCTCTGACTTCAGTCTTCTCCAGCAGCTGGGACTACAGGTTTGTGCCAGCATGCTCAGCTACTTAAGGTCTTTTTTTTCCCCCCAAGACAGGGTTTCTTGGTGTAACAGCCCTGGCTGTATTGGAACTTGTGCTGTAGACCAGGCTGGCCTTGAACTCGCCGAGATCCACCTGCCTCTGTCTTCTGTGATAACAACTAGATACTGAGCAGGGGGCTCCCCCCTCCCGCTCTGTCTTAATTTCCCCCTCTTGGCTGAGAGCACTTGCTACTCTCGCAAAGAACTAGAGTTCAACATCAATGCTGGACAGCTCACAACCACCTCTAACTCCAGTTCTAAGGACTCTGGCGCCCTCTCCTGGCCTCCACTGGCACCTGCATGCAAGTGCACACCTCACATAATAAAAAAAAAATGTAAAGACTTTCTCATCTAAGAATTAATTCCACAGAAGAGTTAAGGGATCTTCATCCTCTGCCCCTTATTTTTTTGTTTTGTTTTGTTTTGTTTTCCAGACAGGATTTCTCTGTGTAGCTTTGTAGATCAGGTTGGCCTTGAGCTCACAGAGATCTGCCTGCCTCTGCCTGCCCAGTGCTGGGAGTAAAGGCATGCGCCACCAGATCCCTGCTCTTAGCACCTTATTGTCTTTTCTAAACTGCTTGGGAAGGGGCTCAGTTTTCTCTCTGCTTCTACATGTAACCCATCTTGTGTGCAAAGTGTATGATCTCGCTGTCTTGTCCCGGCTCAGACTGTGATAAGACACCCCGCTGAAACAACTTAAGGGAGAAGCATTTATTTTAGCTGGTGGCTCAGGAGTACAGCCCTTCATGGCAGGAACTTGAAGAAAACTAGTGCCACCCATACTGAATGGGTCTCCCTACATCGTTGAGCATAATTAAAGTCACTACTCACAGCTGTCCCCGGAGGTCCTCCTTTTTAGGTGATTCTAAGAACTCATGAAGTTGATAGTTAGCGCTAACTACCACATCTGTTATTCTTTTTAAAAATTATTTATTTTTATTTTATGTGCATTGGTATTTTGCCTGCATGGAACCCTCACATGTCTATTAGTGTGTCAGATCCCTGGAACTAGAGTCACAGGCAGCTGTAAGCCACCATGTGGGTGCTGGGAACTGAACTCACAGCCTCTGGAAGGGTAGACAGTACTTAATTGCTGAGTCATCTCTCCGGCCCTACTATTCTTTTTTAAAATATTTATTTGCATTTTAAATTTTATAAGCTTTATTATGAAAACTTGCAAAAATAAAATCTCATGTCAGAATTAGCTATATCCTAAGTCTATATATGTCAATGACTTGGACAGTTAGAGTAGCCATCTTGGAATGGAAGCTGGGGTGCTTCATTTGGAGTTCATACTTTAATTATCAAATATACTTTTTTTTTTTTGGTTTTTACGAGACAGGGTTTCTCTGTATTGTTTCGGAGGCTATCGGTCCAGCCCGGCCTCGAACTCACAGAGATCCGCCTGCCTCTGCCTCCCGAGTGCTGGGATTAAAGGCGTGCGCCACCACCGCCCAGCCCAAATATACTTTTATGCATGTATCCATTGCCCAAAACAAAAAAAAATCTATGACAGAATTAGAACCAGGAAACATATCAGCTTTCTCTCCTCTTTCATAACTCATCACCTGCACTCAGTTCTTTCTCATCTCCTGATTTTCAGCCTTGTTCTTTTCAACATGTTATGCTGTACCCACATGTACATTTGTTTACAGACATACATACATGGTTGCATATATGTCTGTGTGAGACATTGTGTGGATGTGTACCACATGATTACAGGGACCTGTGGAGGCCAGAAGAAAGTGTCAGGTTCCTTGGAACTGGAGTTACAGGTGGCTAATGTGGGTGCTTGGAATTGAACCTAGGTTCTCTCCGAGAACAGCAAATCTCTCTGACTCTGTCTCTCCTCCCTCCACCTCTGAAGATGGGTCCCACTAGGTAGCCATGGATGGCCTGTAACTCTCTATGTAGACCAGGCTGGATTCCATCTATGTCTGCCTCACCAATGTTGGGATTAAAGGTGTTGCCACCATCTGTGGCACAGCAAATACTTGTAACTGTCCAAACTCAAGCTATTCTTGACTGATCTCCCTGCTCTGACATCTACTAATAGCTTATGGGGTTTAACTATGTTGAATCAGTTTATCTGCCTATTTTTAAAATGACTGTGATCAGGGCCTTTAAGATAACTCAGTCTGGAGCAGGAGCTCATGTCTTTAACCCCAGCACTCAGGAGGCAGAAGCAGGCAGATCTCTGAGTTCGATGCCAGCCTCATCTACTGAATGAGTTCTAGGACAGCCAGAGTTACCTAGAAAGACCCTGTCTCAAACAAACAAACAAACAAAAATCCAAAAAACCAAAATGACTTAGCAGACTTAAAAAACAATGTGCCTGCGGACAGCCCTGACTTCTGCAGACAAATCAGAGTTCTTGCCCTGGAAGCCACATAGCAGAAGAGAAGCAATTGTCCTCTGACCTCCACACATGCGCAATGGCACATGAGCACACACACACACACACACACACACACACACACACACACACACACAAACAGAATAAATGTTAAAAATTCAAATGTACTCAAAATATTGTATAATTACAAGAGTTGGACATGGCAGTGTACATTAGGGTTCCTTAGAGAAAGAACCAATGGAAAGTATGTATATTATAAAAGGGGTATACGTGTGTGTGTGTGTGTGTGTGTGGTGTATATGTATGTGTATATGTATATACATATTCTTGTGAACGTGTGTACATACACTCACGTGAAGAACAGGGATCACGTGAAGAAGGTCAGACATCTCTCTTGTTTGATCTCCACCTTATGTTTTGAGACAGGTTCCTTATTGAGCCTGTCACCACTATTCAGCTAGGCTGATGGCTGACTGAACCACAGGGATCCTCCTGTCTCTGCCTCCCCATCACTGGGAGTTATGTGGGTTGTGGGGACTTGAACTCGTGTTCTCACCCTTGAGTGACTGGCACTTTACTGACTCCTACCTGTGAGGAGAGCTTTTGTCTGGGTCTTTTGTCATGTGTGTAGCTCATATTGGCCTGGGACTGGTGACACTCCTGCCTCAGCCTCCTGAGTGCTGGGATGACAGGCATGTACCACCATTCCAACATTGCCAATTCAGTTTGTACAACATTCTGCCCCTCTATGGTAAGAGTCCTTGTCCTGCCTGGGTAGCCATTGGGGACTGGGCTGCTCTGGGGTCAGCTTCCTGTGACAGACTGGCCTGTGCTTGGCCTTGGTGGCCCCCTGAGGCTCTGCCATTGGCTTTCTCTCTCCCAGGCTGAACCTTCGGGAGCTGGGCCCCTGGGCCTCCCACATGCGCTGGCTGGTCTGGGTCATGGCCTCCGTTGGTACTATCTATGTCTTTTTCTTCCATGAACGGTAAGTCAGGGCTGGGGGATCTCAGATTGGTGAGGTATCCCTTCATTCTCCAGCACTACCTCTCAGCAACCTCAAGCAGGTGAGCCCCCAGGATGACCCCCAAAATGTGAGGAAAAGGCCTTGCTTACATCCTACCCTTTGAGGCTCATGGTTGTGTATCAGGCTCCATGACCCAGAGGGACATGTCTAAAGCAGTGTGTGTGTGTGTGTGTGTGTGTGTGTGTGTGTGTGTGTGTGTGTGTGTGTAGGCCAGAGTTTAATGCTGGCCAGTGAGCCCTAGAGATCGTCATGTCTTCTCCCCCTCAGAAATGAGGTTATAGATGTGTGTGATCATGCCTGGCTTTTATGTGGGTGTAGGGATATAGATCCTCATGCTTGTACAGAAAACTCCTTGCCAATGAAACCATCTCACCGGACCCTGAGTGTTTTCCAAAAAAAGAAAAAATCATAGTGGGTGTCATGGAGATGACTCTGTTGGCGAAGTTCCTGTTGTTCAAGCATGAAGTGTTGAATTTGATCCCCAGAACACGCTTTAATATCTGGGCACAGTAGTGTACCCATCATCCTGCTGCTGAGGAAGCAGAAACGAGAGGATGCCTGGGGCTTAAGGCCCAGACCTCAACCCTACTTGGCAAGGTCCACATCAGTGAGGACCACCCTTTCTCAAGGTGGACAGCACCTGAGGAATGACACTGGATGCTGCTTTTTGACTTCCACACTATGTGCTCACACCTCACACATATGTGCATCTGCACACTCACAAACACACACACATCAAAAAATTGTGCTTCATTTATGTGTGTCTGTGAGCATGTATATGTACACTTGTGTGTGGATTCCCAAGGAGGCCAGAAGAGGGTGTCAACTTCCCTAGTGGAGCTGTAGGTGGCCGTGAGCTGCCCATTGTGGGTGCTGAGATTTGAACTACACATGCTCTAACTGCTGAGCCATCGGTCCAGCACACTATACTCTCCTGATTCTTTTTATGACATCATAGGTTACTTGAGCCATTCAGTGAACTAGGCCACTGTCACTACCTGCCTTCCCTAAACTGTATTATCAGATAATGGGAAAAGCCTTTAAGAGATCATGTACCTGGAAAACTTTTTTTCCCTGCTATGGGATTGGAATGATAGTCAATAAGTGTGGAGGAGAGAGAAGCCAGGGAACAACAGAACATAACAAAGTCCTGCAACCACAGAGCCCACAGGTCCTCCAGGAGACAAACAACCCAGAATGCCATAGGGTTCGGCTCATCTAACAATTCAGCATAATTGAGAATGGCTGCTTGGGTCCTGTGGGAGAGGATGCTGGGATTAACTAGGATGTCTGCCATAGACCACACATTGGCGATACGCATGTGCTATGCCTAAACTTGCAACCCATGTTTTGCCTACAGTGTAAGCTTTAGAAGCTCAGAAATAGGCTCAGAGAAGAAAGGGGGCTTATCATATGATTTTCTCAAGGTCACATGACTCCCATTACCTGTTGATGTTGCTGGGCAGCATACAAGCCAAAGAGTTCCACACAGAGAGAGTCTCTTCTCATTGTGCTGGTCTTCAACATCAGGAAGTTGTGTGCTCTGTCCCTCCTTGGAAGCTTGTCCTGAGGCCACATGATCTGTCTCCCCAGGTACAAACTTGTGGAGCTGCTCTGCTATGTGGTGATGGGCTTTTTCCCCGCCCTGGTCATCCTCTCTATGGTAAGTCCCATTTGCCCGCAGCGAGGGAACTCATGTGTGAGCCGGACCTGCCTCTCGAGACTGTCAGTCAAGTCCTCTCCTCTGTCAGCAGGGGAAACAGAGACTGAGTGGGCCTGTGATCTTGCCTAAAGAGAACATGGCGATCTCACCTGGGAGCTGAGGCATTCCTTGTGCCTAAGTGTGAGGTTGGGTCTCCATGAAGGGGACTAGACACTGACCATGGTGCCTGGCACATGGTGCTGCTAAGAAACACTGGGTGTTTTGACTACCGTGTGGTTAATATTCAGAACCAATACTCTTGAGGACTGGGGAATACGTTTGTGTGTGCGTGCGTGCGTGCGTGCGTGCGTGTGTGTGTGTGTGTGTGTGTGTGTGTGTGTTTTGAAATGCCTTAGAGATATTCACAATAACACCCTAAATGCTTTAGATTCACTTTTGTCTCTGTGACAAAAAGCAACTTAGAGGGCTGGACTGGAGAGATGGCTTGGTGGTTAAGAGCACTGGCTGCTCTTGCAGAGAACCTGAGTTGGTTCCCAGCACCCACATCAGGTGGCTTACAAACACCTATAGCTCCAATCCAGGAGATCTGATGCCCTCTTCTGGCCTCCATACTCATTGTACACAAATGGTGCATGTACCCCCTCCCATATACACACACAAAACTAAAAATGAAAGCAGTTTAGAAAAGAAAGGGCTCATTTGGATCACAATCCCATGTTCCAGTTCATCCTTGAGGGGAAGCCAAGGCAGGAACTTGAAGCAACTAGTGAGATTTATAATCAAGAGCAGACAGAAATGAATGCGTGTCTCCTGTTCAGCTTACCGCCTCTACTGTCAGACAGCCCAGGACTCAAATCCAGAGAATTGTGCTGCCCACTTTTAGGTTGAGTCTTCACCCGTCTGTTATAATCATCAAGCCAACCTCCTACAGACACACCCACCCAACAACCTGATCTAGACATTTCCCTGTGGCTCTCTTCTTCTCAGGCAATTCTAGACTGTTGAGTTGGCAGTTAAACCAAGCACCACATGGGTGATTTAAGATCTCTGAGGGGTTTTTTTGGGGGGGGGGGAGAGGGCCTTCTGTAACCCAGACCAGCATCAAACTCATTATGTAATGCAGCTTTTTCAAAGCTGAATAACATTCTCATGTCCAATTCTTTTTTTCTGTTTTGATCCATGCTATTTACCTGAGACGGAGGCCTGCTCTGTAGCTCAGGCTGGCCTTGAACCCTTTCTTCCTCTGCCTACTGAGTGCTAGGGTTGCAAGCAGGTACCACCTGCTCAGTCTCCAAGAGACTTTGTTTAATGACTGTTCAAGTTGTAGAAAGACAGGATGGTAGAATCCGACTGACCTAAAGATGATTAGACCCTGTGTGTTATACAGATGAAGGCCACAAGCCACATTAGGTGGCCCACAAACACCTGTAACTCCAGCTTAGGGGATCTAGTGCCCTCTTCAGGCCTCCTTGGGCACCCACACGCATATGGCTTATGTATGTATGTATGTATGTATGTATGTATGTATGTATGTATGTATAAATAACTTGTAAAAATAAAAATTAATCTTTAAAAAAAAGCTGGGCATGATGCATGCGCTTGTAAGCCCAGCACTGGGAAGGATTTCTGAGCTTGCTGGCCAGCTATTGTAGCCTTACTGGTGAGCTTCAGACTAGTGAGAAATCCTGTCTCATAAAAACAAGATGGATGGCCAGGCGTTGGTGGCATATGCTTTAATCCCAGCATTCGAGAGGCAGAGGCAGGCAGATCTGCAAGTTTGAGGCTAGCGTGGTGTACAAAGTGAGTTCCAGGACAGCCAGGGCTACATAGAGAAACCCTGTCTCAAAACAAAACAAAACAAAACAAAACAAAAAACAAAAACAAAACCCAGCCGGGCATTGGTGGCGCACGCCTTTAATCCCAGCACTTGGGAGGCAGAGGCAGGCGGATCTCTGTGAGTTTGAGGCCAGCCTGGTCTACAGAGCCAGTTCCAGGACAGCCTCCAAAACAATACAGAGAAACCCTGTCTCGAAAAACAAAAACAAAAACAAAAAAACAAAACCAAAACACAAGGTGGATGGTGTCCTGAGGAGCAATGCCCAAAGTGGATTTCTGACCTCTATGTGCATGCAAACATACCACACATCAACACACACACACACACACACACACACACACAGAGAGAGAGAGAGAGAGAGAGAGAGAGAGAGAGAACCCCTTTTCTCCCCATTACTAAATTCCTTCCCCTGAGAAGATGTAAACATTACCCCTACTGGAGTCCACCAAAGTCAGCTCTAGGCTCACCTGCAGGGGAGTATGTGAGGGGTTGTGGCCAGTACTCTACTATTCAGCCACATCTCCGTCGCCAGCCACCACCCCCTTTCCTTTTCGGGTCTCAGTATTTAGCTTGCATTCCTTTTTTTTTTTTTTTTTTGGTTTTGCTTTGTTGAGGCACAGCCTTGTGTAGCCTGGCATGACCTTGGATTTCTAACCCTGCTGCAATTGCCTTCTCCCAATTGCTGGACCTAGGAGGTTTGTGTTCACCATCATCAACCAATTGCAGATCTGGAAAATTAATGTGGGAAATTTCGATGCCAGAGTGTTGAGATTTCCTAGGGGACTCTGGGCTTGTTCATCACTTGTAATTCCTTTTGTTTGGGTGGCAGGGAATAACTTGTGTCCAATCCTTTTCTTCCAACAGCCCAACACCGAGGGCATCTGGGAGCTGATGACAGGAGGGGTCTTCTACTGCTTGGGCATGGTGTTCTTCAAGAGCGATGGGAGGATTCCCTTTGCCCATGCCATCTGGCACCTCTTTGTGGCATTTGGTGCTGGTACCCACTACTATGCCATCTGGAGGTACCTCTACCTGCCCAGCACCCTGCAGACCAAGGTGTCTAAATGAGGTGACCCAGACTCCATGGGTCATTTAGACTTTGGGATCAAAACATCATGGGAAGTGAACTGTGAAGTCTAACCCAGAGCATAGTGCCAAGGTCTGCCTGCCTTTTCCTGGATGGAATTCTTTAAGGGTCTAAGGTCCCTTTCAGTGACAGCCAGACCACCTTTTGAGTCTCCAGCAAGGAAGAAAACATTTAGTCATCTCTGTGGAGAAGAAATTAATTCAGTACTGTATTTCTACTTTAGACAAATGACTTTTTTTTTTACTATAACCAATATTAACATCCTCAGAAAAGGGCAAAATAGGGAACGATCATCCAAGAGGTAATTTTTAAGGTCCTGAGAACTTCCCTTTCTGGTTCTGGCGAAAGTCACCTAGCATTGTAGATGACAGATGGGGACTACCCCTGATCATTGTGGACACCACCAATCAATTGCAGCATTAGTAGAATTCAACATAGTGCCACATGCAGACATTACTAATTGATTCTGTGCTCATCACGGAACTTCTTGGCTGCCCTGATATGTTAAGAGACAAGATCACAGCTGAGCCATTAGAAGTCACTGTATGGAGGAGCATGCTTATCTCCAGACACCATTACCTTCTATTCCGTCCTGTCCGCCTTCAAGGAAGTTCTTAGTGTGGGATGTTTGGAGCCAGTGTGGGGAAACCAAGGCATACATTCCAAGCAGCGCTTACCCTCTGCTCCACCATGGCTGGTCCATGGTTTTTGAGGAGCTGAGAGCTGGGATGAGGGTGCTGCTACTTGGCCATTTCTTCTCATCTCACAGAATCCAGAGAAACTAGGAAGCTGCATTCACCAGTTTTTTCTTGGTATCCTAAGATGGCTCTCTGAGGTCTCTCTGATGGGCCCAGCGTAGGGTCTTCATCTGTCAGAATGTATGGAATGTCTGCATTTTACATCCCCAACCTCTGAAGTGACACGTCAGCTAAGAACATGGCTGTCAGGGGCTGTCCTCAGCCACCTCCACTTCTGGGCTAGCCTCGTCCTAAGACGCCACCTGGACACTGGATGAATGTTGGAGCTGCAGGCCTGCTCCTGACTGGAACTGACACCTCAGACCCTCTGGAAGAAGCTACTGGAAATCCAAGGTCTTATTCAATGACTGCCAGCCAGATGAGTGTGGGCGAGGGTGGGTCAAGACAGGGTGCCTTATACTTTGTTCTAGCACATTCCAAGGTATTTCAGGGCTTCAGCACCTGGAATCCCATATGTCAAAACCAGTATTAAATCAAGTTTATGCATTCCTCAGAAAGCTGGTTTTGGAGCCAGTGAGCTCTAGGATTGGTTCTGTCTAGCCTGCCTGTGCATATGAGTGCCATGTGCATGTATGAACGTGTGTGAGTGTGTGTGTGTGTGTGTGTGTGAGAGAGAGAGAGAGAGAGAGAGAGAGAGAGAGAGAGAGAGAGAGAGAGAGAGAGAGAGAGAGAGAGAGAACAGGACTTCCAGCCTCCTGGAAACGGTCTTAGGTAACCCTGTCCCATGGATCTCCCCCATGTTTCCTCCACCTGGGGGGTCAGGGTTCAGAGAAGAGGATCACAATGGAGAGCTGACTGCAGACTGGGATGGGACCCTCATGACTGGCGTCCCCCTGTGCCTAAGGCTGTGGGGGTAGGAGTGGGGCATAGGGAATGCTGTATGGGGACTTCCCAGGTGTGGAGAAATATCTTCAGTCACTAGGATGCTAATGGGAATCAGGGGGCTCCCAGGAACAGTGTTGAATGCCTAGGATAGCAACTTGGCACTTCAGAGTGACCACATGGCCCCAGCTGAGCTCTTGAGTTGAATAGCTCCATCTCCTGTGCCCCTGAGCAGAACATTTGATTTGAATTGGCCCTAGACAGCTATCCTGTAGGAGGAAACAGGACTCCACCATTAGCCATGTGGCGCTCTAAGGACGCATACGGATGTGGTAATGAAAGGGCTGAACTGTGCCGCTAACCACACCCACTTTAGGCATGACTAGAGACAGGGCGGTGGAACTATGCCACTAGCCAGGCCCACTTTTGGGCAGGGCTAGGGGCGTGTGCGGAGGAAGGAATAAAAGAAGGGACAGCAGAGCGCTCGCCCCTTTTCTCGGCTTCCAATTCGGTGGGGGAAAACTGCTCGACTCATCAGGGTTGCTCGTTTCTCTCTTGTGAGTAGTTTCTACAGTAAACCGTTACCTATACCCTCAAGTGTGCCGTTTATCGTTGCAGCATCACTATCCCCTCATGCTGTCTCTCATCTATCCAACTCCTACTCATCCTTCAAAGCCCAAATACACATTGAGGAGCTTGCAGGTTTTGTGTGACTCTGGGGCTATCCTCTGCACCCCAGCTCAGAGCCCTGTCTGTCACTCAGGTACTTAAGCTGCTCCTGGAGAGTAGGGCTATCTTGGTAGGCTTGTCATCAAATCTGACTTTCCCCATTGGCAAGGGTTTACATCAATTCCCTGCTCTCTGTGGCAGGTGTCCCCAGCTATAAACAAAGTAAGACAGCACCTTATAGAGGGTGGGAAAGATGGCTCAGCAGTTAAGAGCACTGGCTGCTCTTCCAGAGGATCTGGGTTTGATTCCCAGCACCCACATGGCAGCTTACAACCATCTCTAGTTCCCATTTCAGGCGATCTGATGCCCTCTTCTGGCACCAGGGATGCATGTGGTACACAGACATACAAGTAGGGAAAACACCCACACATATAAAGATAAATAAATAAATAAAGGGCTGCATGAAGAATGGAATAGGATAATAGGTAACCAATGGAACTGGTGAGATGGCTCAGAAGGTAAAGCTTGCTAATCCTGATGACCTTAGTTCAGTTCCCAGGGCCTATAGGTAAGAGAGACTGGACTTCTGTAAGCTGTCCTCTGTCTTACACACACACACACACACACACACACACACACACACAGCCATTTAAAATGCAGCACCAGCCTGTGTCCTAATTAGTTATGTTAATGTCCACATGAAAAATGAGCTGTGATAAAGACATGCCTGTGCTTGAGTTCTAGCTCAAGGAATGGATGAATCACTAATGGTTTCAACTATGGGTAGCACTTGGGAGCATCCTGAAAGGCCTTGGCCACTCTTCCGTTGCTTTCATTCAAGACCCACTGTTCATCATCTGTCATTCAAGGAAGAGGGCCTTCTAGGATCTGAGCCCTATTACCATCTATCACCAGAGCAGGAAAAGGTATTCCCATGGGTCAGTGTCTCCAGTTCTGTCCCAAGAGCATCCTGGGTGATGTGCCAGGAGTCTGGGGGCAGAGAGTATGCTGGAACCTAAGATGCCAGCACTTTGCTATTATCCTGCCGCTAAAGAGCCATGGAAACAACAGCACTGTGTCTCCCAGCTGTGCACAGCTGGGAAACTTCCTTGGAGGTCTTGGAACAGGTCAGGATTGGAGAGATTTGTATCACTCTTAGACCGGAGCTAAAACGGAAGTGTGGGCAAGGCTGGGTGGCTCTCTCATGAGGAAGCATAGGAGTGGAGCCCTGGATGGCAGAAAAGGAAACAGTGCTGGGAACTGCAAGCAGACCTGGGTCTCCTTGTCTAAAACTGCCTTCGGTGAGGCTGGGCCCTGAGGATAGGAACTTGCAGGGAACCCACCCTGCCTTTCCTTCCTGCCCGCCTTTCCTTCCTGCCCGCCTTTCCTTCCTGCCCGCCTTTCCTTCCTGCCCGCCTTTCCTTCCTGCCCGCCTTTCCTTCCTGCCCAGTTCTGTGCTGTCCTCCCTTCCCATTTCTCTCCACATTCCCTTTCTTTTCCTTTCCTGTTCTTCTTCCTTCCTTCCTTCCTTCCTTCCTTCCTTCCTTCCTTCCTTCCTTCCTTCTTTCTTCTTTCTGTCTCCTTCCCCTGCCCCCTCAAGACAGGGTTTCTCTGTGTAATACTGTCCTAGAACTCACTATATAGCCAAGACCTGCTTTGAACTCACAGAGATTGACTTTCTTGGATTAAAGGAATGTGTGGTGATGTATTATTTATGATTTATTAAAACTTGCCTGAGGATTCAGAAAACAAAGTCAGTTTCAAGCTATAGAGACCAGGCAGTGGTGATACACACCCTTAATCCCAGCAGCCAGAAACTAGGGGGTGATGGTACACACCTTTAATCCTAGGACTGGGATTAAGAGGTAGACGGATCTCTGTGAGTCCGAGGCCACCCAGATCTACACAAGAGCGAATCAATCCTAAAGAGAAACAGTTCATACAAAGATGATCTCAGCACCCGGGATCACAACCCTTTAAACCCAGCACTAGAGGGGTAGGAAAGACAGGGGCAGGGTCTTCAGCAGTCAGTATCAGGCATTCATTCTCCAGCCACATTGAGGAGAGGAAGACATTGAAGTCTCAGGATTCTCCAACCACACTGAGGAAAGGATCTGCGGTTTGGTGGAGCCAGGATCCCATTTCAGTCTGAGGTAGAGTGAGATCTAGTGGCCAGTTGCTTTGCTTTTCTGATCTTCAGCATGAAGTTTAAACCCCAATATCAGCTACTGGGTCTTTTCCTTTTCATTTAACAGGAATGCACCACCACACCCAGCTTTTCCTTTTCTTCTTTTGAGACAGGGTTTCGTGTAGCCAAGGCTGGTCTCAGAGCTAAGAATAACTGAACTCCTGATCCTCCTGCCTCTACCTCCAGGGGCTGGGATTATGAATGTGCATGGTCACACATGTTTGTGCAGTGCTGGGGAGGCAGCCCAGGGCCTTGTGCTTGTCAAGCAAGTCCTCTGCCAGCGCAGACACAGCCTCATTTCCCAGCTCTTTTCCATCTAAGCCTGCAAACAAACTGAGTAGTCTTTCCTCTAGAACTCCACCCAAGCCTAGCGATGGGAGGCAGAGACAGGAGGATGCCCGGAGCTCACTGACCAGCCAGTCTGGATGAACTCGTGAGCTCCAGGTTCAGTGAGAGACCTTGTCTCAAAAAAAAAAAAAAAAAAAAAAAAGCTGAGGGCCTTCAATATAGATCAGCCTGCCAAGGCTCTTGATGCCGAAGATGACCAGAATTCGATCTCTGGACCTACAGAATGGATATCTGAAAATTTGTCTCCTGTCCTCATACATGAGACATGGCACAATCTCCCACCCCCAATATAAATAGAAATGTGATTGAAAAGATAAGCTGGGGAGTGGCTGGAGAAGGTGCCTGACATTGACCTCTGCCTGGTCCACACATGTGCACGCTCAATTACACTTGCATACCTGTGTGCACACATGGACACATTCATACCCCACAAATGAATAATAACAACAATTTAAAGATAAGAACAGGAAGACATGGGTTTGGACTCAGGGAGGTGTTTATTCAGCTGGCAGCTGGGGAGAGAATAGGTGTGCCACCACTGGCTGTGGCAGCTGTCCTCATGAGCCCCTCCCCTTGTCCAGACAATTTTCTCTTTATAGTTGGCTTCCAGATAGGCTTTAAATCAGCTTTGGTGCTGGTGTGCTCTGTGTGTGTGTGTGTGTGTGTGTGTGTGTGTGTGTGTGTGTGCCATGACACACATGTGGATCCTCGGATTTGGAACTTGGATCACCAGGCTTTGTGGCACATGCCCTCTTTTTTTTTTTTTTTTTTTTTTTTTGGTTTTTCGAGACAGGGTTTCTCTGTATTGTTTTGGAGGCTGTCCTGGAACTCGCTTGGTAGTCCAGGCTGTTCTCGAACTCACAGAGATCCGCCTGCCTCTGCCTCCCGAGTGCTGGGATTAAAGGCGTGCGCCACCAACGCCCGGCTGGCACATGCCCTCTTTAGCCTCCCTCTGCTCTGCTTTGTAGATTCATCCTTTTTAAACATGTTAGTTTTCTCCATTGCTGTACAGAACACATGGCAAAGTTGAGTTAAAGGAGGAGAGATTTATTTGGACTCATGGTCTCAGAGGTGTCAGCCCATGGTCACTTGGCCTCATGGTTTCTGATGAAGCAGAGCATCATGGCGGTGGTGGTAGTAGGGGAATGGAGAATGAGAGAGCAGGTGATCTGTCTTCCTATTATCCAGGATAACTCTTCCTCCAGGCAGCCTCCACCGCCTAACATACCATTCAGCTGTGATTACTTAACTGATGAAATCAGCACCCTCACAATGTAGTCACCGTTCAAGCCTTCCAACTCTGAACTCTCCTGATCAGGGAGCACATGAACCTTTGGTGGGGGGCACTTCATAGTCAAATCAGGACACTAGTGTCCCCAAAGAGGAATCATACATTTGCCCCTTTGTACCTGGCTTATATCAATATAATACTTTCAGGGTTCGTCTCTATGGTAGCATGTATCAGT